CGGTGCCTTGTAGGCTTGTACACCGTGCTCAGCCAATGCTGCAGACACCTGAGGTGTAGCCTTGTGTGGCGCACTATGATTGTTGTTGAAGCCATATGACCCAGAAGCTGGAGGTATACACGTACTGGGAGCGTTGGAACTTGCAAGACTGTTTTTATCAGGTCTTGTATTAGTTGAAAATGCTCGACTGGCAGATGAACTCTCTCTAACTGGGAGTCGAGACGCGCTCCTATGAAGTTTAGAATTTGTGTTGGTTGTGGACGTGATTTTTGAATGTTCACAATAAGGCTGAGGGAATCGAACAAATCCCGAGTTGCAACTACCATGTGAAGTGCCTCTGACTGAGTGCGTCCCTTGATGAGGCAGTCGTCGAGGTAGGGGAAGATAGAGACTCCTATCCTTCGTAGATGGGCAGCCACTACCGCTAGTGATTTGGAGAACACCCTTGGGGCTGAAATGAGGCCGAAAGGCAGTACCCTGTATTGAAAATGGTCATCGCCCACTACGAATCTCAGAAAACGCCTGTGTGCTATGTGTATTGTCACATGGAAATATGCGTCTTGCAAATCTAGGACTGCGAACCAGTCTCCTTTGTTTAGTGCTGGCATGATCTTGGCCAGCATGGTCATTTTGAAGCAATCTCGTAGGGGAATGGGACCCCAGCGACCAGAGGGGCGCGCAGGAGGCGTGGGCTACCCAGGAGGAGGATGCGGGGCCGATGCCCCCGCAGGGACCAGATAGGGGGGAGCCGTTGGCAGCCCTGGAGATCGATAGGGGCGACTTCCTAGTCCTTCAGCGGGAAGACCCGATGCTGCAGCACGCGTGGGAGAACGCGCTGATTACCCGGGAAGAGGGCGAAGGGGCCGAGCGGCGACCTGAGCAGGGCCCCCACTTCAAAATCCAGGGGGACTGTCTTTATCGAGTCCCGGGGACAGGAGACGGGGAAACCCAATTAGTCGTGCCAAAGGCGTATCAGTGGCGGGGGGTGTAGGGGGAATTGAAGCAAACGGGATCGTTAGGTCTGATGATATAACCTCTAGGACCCATCAGTCTGAGGTAATGGTGGCCCATTGATGAAGAAATGGCCTCAGGCGTTGGTGGAATAAGGTGGTGGCAGGCTTTAATGTGTTGACCGGTGGAGATGTGTTCGAGTCCCCCGCACAGGAGTCAAACCTGCTGCTTCTGGGAAGGCCGAGCTGAAGAGCGATTCTGCTGCTGACGTTTGCATTGAGGGCGCTGTCTAAATCTAGGCTGGTCGGAGCCGCGTTGCTGTTTCTGTGTATAGGAGAAGTAATCATATCTCCTCTGGAAGGGGTAGTACCGCCTGCGTTTGAAAGGTGGCGTGTACATCCCTAGAGATCGAAGGGTAGTACAAGAGTCCTTGCCAGAATGGAGAACCTCATCGGTAGTAGAAGCAAACAGCTTTTGACAATCAAAGGGTAAATCTTCCACTTTGGACTGCAACTCCTTAGGGGCTCCCGCTGACAATAACCAGGAAGCTCTTCTCATCGCGATACCTGTTGCCATCACTCGAGCGGCTGTGTTGGCAATGTCTGCGGCAATCTGAAGCGATGTTCTACATGCAGTGAACCCTTCCTGGACAACGGCTTTAAGGAGAGACCTCTTATTGTCAGGGAGATGTTGCATAAGTTCCGGGAGCTTGGAGTAATTGTCAAAGTTATGGTTTGACAAAAGAGCAGCATAATAGGCAACCCGCAGTAGCAAGGTTGAGGAGGAGTAAACTTTTCGACCAAAATAATCCAATTTCTTTGTATCCCTATCCGGTAGGGAATTCTTAAATTGGGACATCTTGCTCTTATGGCGAACTGCATCCACTATCAGGGAATTCGGCTGCGGGTGATTGAAAAGAAATTCCAAACCTTTGGACGAGACAAAATACTTTTTATCCATTTTCTTATTTGTGGGCGGTATTGATGTTGGCGTCTGCCAGATGTCCTGTGCTACCTCCAAGGTAGCGTCATCTATTGGGAGGGCAATCTTTCTTTGTTGGTTAGGGTGTAAATTCTTAAATAACTTATGCTGCTTAACCTGGGACTCAGTAAGTTGCACCTCCTGGGATTGTGCGGCATGTTTAAACAGGTCTTGGAATTCTTTAAGATCGTCCGGAGGTGACGTCTCGCCCAGAGACAGCGATTCATCCCTAGAAGGCAATGGTGAACAGGTATTAGGCGACATGTCCGGGTCAGCTTCCGAGAGTTGCCCTTCCTCTAGGTCTGACATTTGTGATTGGTGCATCGGAGAACGAGAAGGTATCGTACGTTGTAGCTGAGAATGTTTGGGAATCTCTGAAAGCACAGAGTGTGGGCTAATTGACCGACAGGAACATGGAGACCTGCGATGATATCGGAGAACGAGGAGGTATCGTATGTCATAGCGGAGAATGTTTGAGAATCTCTGAATGCACGGAGTGTGGGCTAATTGACCGACAGGAACATGGAGACCTGCGATGAGATCGAGAGTGACTGCGATGAGATGATTTAACATAGTCCGGTCTAGGACGATGTGTATAACGCCGGTCAGACCCTGCAGGCGACGAACGTCTAGAAGATCTAGCACTGCAGTACCTGACATAATAGGTGCTTCGTGGTGAACGAGTTGGTGAGAGTGAGCGTCTTGCAGGAGAAGGAGATCTAGAACATCTCTGGTGTGAACAGCTACGCTCTCTGTAATAATGGTGACGAGATGAGAGACTGCGGTGATAATAATCCCTGTGATCTCTTGTATTGTGCGTAGAAGCACAAGGGTGAGGAGATGGGTCCTGATACGACCCCGGTGAGGTACGCAGGGAGATTCCCTGGGTATTTGATTTTACTGCTGCTGGAGGCTGTGCAGAGCCTGGAGACTGAAGGGTTAAAGGCTCAGAAGGAAGCATCTGGGCAGGAGTATGCTGTTCCCCTGCCGGTGCTGAAGACAGCTCCCTGTGAGGAGCAGTGATTGCAGGCATTTCAGCACTCGGCAGTGATAAGACGGGTGCCGCTGTAGCTGGCTCTTTAAGAAGCCCCGGTGCCGGCTGCGGCTGCGGTGCCGAGGGCTGTCGAGATTGAGAAATGCCGGCTGGCTTCTTTGTTAAAGGAGCATGGGTTACCCTCGAGCATGGGTTACCCTCATTTTTGCGTAATTCCCCTTTTTGAAATTAAATGCCAGGGTACTGGACTGCTGAGGTGTTCTTCCCACCACAGGAATGTTGAATGTTATTATATTATGGTCACTATTCCCAAGAGGTCCTATAACGGTTATATCCTGGACCTGATCCTGCACTCCACTCAGGACTAAATCGAGAATTGCCTTTCCCCTTGTGGGTTCCTGCACTAGCTGCTCCAAGAAGCAGTCATTTAAGCCATTGAGAAATGTTATCTCCACTTCTCTTCCTGAGGTGACATGTATCCAGTCAATATGGGGGTAATTAAAATCCCCCATTATTATAGATGTGTGTGTCCCCGGCTTTCTTTTCGCTTGAACTTCTTTATTACAACGCTTTGTCCTCTCTTTTTCACTCTCTCTTTTTTTTTTTAAACCAGTGAAGTTAAACAGTAATGATAATGGGGAGAGCAGTGACTGGGGAGACACGTCTCTCCGCGGTTTGCTTGTTTGGATTTTTCTAGGTATTATTTTTCTTCTTGAGGAGTCAGTGGAAGTAACCACAGCAGCTAACAGAAAAAAACACTAACACTACATAGAAGTAGAACTGCTCATTCTCGGTTTTAGGTTTCTTTTCCTCTCTTTTTTTTTTTTTTTTAAAACGAGCCCGCAACCCGGGCTAAACGAGGAACGATTTTACTCTGTTTATTTTTAGACTTATTAACTTTCCCCACAGACAACTAACTGAAGGGAAAAGGGGAAACTCTGCTTGAGGAGAAAGGGGGAGCTCCGTCTGCGACCCAAGGTGGATGAGAAGAACTGGCGGACGCCGGACCACGCGTGGCAGATGAAAGGCGCAAAACTGGCTTGCACGCGCGTGGTCCGGCCACACACACACACACACACACACACACACACACACACACAGCTCTGTCAAGCTCCGATTTGTGGCGCCGGGACCAGCCCGACACCAGACGTGGAGCACCCACGGGGACTACCCGAAGAAGAACTTGGAAGTTACATTCCCAAATCCTTATTTAGACACTTAAGTTACCTGATTTTCACAGATGCTTAGCACCTACAACTTCCACTGACTTCAATGGGAACTGATGCTGCTCAGCACTTCTGAAAATCAGCCCTCTTCTGATTTGGCACCTATGTATGGATTGAGGAGTCTATCATGACACACCCAGATATGAAAGTTGTGACCATTGGCTATTATTTCAAATTAATCTATATACGTTTCTGTTCTTCTACTGAAAACTGTCTAATATAAAGCTATTATATTACTGCTAACATATTATCCAAATACCAGCCTAATTAGTCCTCAACTAAAAATCAAAGAAATCGGAAACTAGAAAGAACTGCCCTTCTTAGATATGAAATGCAAACTGTTCCTTCTTCAATATCTTTCACAATATACTTTCTTCACCCTGAGCAGAGAATTACTGCATGTATTGTATTTGAATCAAATGTTGGAACTTACATTTTTTCTTTGAATTCAAACTGAAAAAGATTATTGGTGATCTTTGCTCCACTCTGGCCAGAAAAAACAAACATCTTGTCTTGGCAAACAGCCACAGGAAAATTACAGCAGGAAGGAGGGATCTCACCGCTTTGTTCAATCTACAAAGTAGCAAAATCCACAGTAAATTATATCTTTTCAAATTGTAAGTGCACACTGAAGGACAGACAACACTTGCTGATAGCCGTTAGGTGAAGAGCAATCATGTAGTCTGAACACAAATCATGTTTCCATCCAACAATGACACTGAGAGAATATAAATTTGGTTGAAGTGTGTAGATAGAGCCTTATTCATTTAATAGAATAGTACTGATGTAAACAAAGCACCTTACCAAATAACAGTTCAAGTTGATAAAAACATTTCAAGAGAAAATCAAAGAATCACAGAATCTTAGTGAGAGAAAGGATCACAAGGATTGCCTAGTCTAACTTCCTGCCAAGATGCAGGATGTGGAGCCGCCTACCCTCCCATGCACTGCTGTCTCTGAATCAGAGGCGGCAGCATGAGGGAGGAGGGGCAGACGGGAGCCAGTACATGCATGGAGTCAGCTTTGAAGCTGGCTCCCTGCACGTACCAGTTTCTGCCCAGCTGACTCCCTCCATGTAAGAAGCAACAGGGGAGGCAACGGGGGAGGAGGAGGAGGGAATGGGAGCCAATGTTCCCGCCTCCCCCCAAGTAAATGTGTATCTGCTGAAAATTTCACACACACGTTTACACAAAACACTTTTTAACATGCCTGTTGGCCACAGACCTATATAAAATGCCATAAATGCACCACTCCAGGGCGTCCACAGCTGATCTGATGTGCACCACTAGGGAAAAGTCTTCCCGTGAGCATGCATGCAGCACGTGCGTATGCCTATTGGAATGGATATGAGCAATCACTCACAGAAGAACCCCCTTTAATTACTGTGATTTGGGTTCCCCCACCAGAGAAAAGCCTTGAACTAAGCTGACCCCAAAGGGGTGGACGAGAGGAAGAGGCCTAGAAACAACAATCTTAAGCAGCCTGGGTTGCCAGTCTACACATATCCACATGGAAAAGACAACTGTAATTTAGCAAAGGCATAACGAGATCCAATAGCAAGAAACTGAAGCTAGACAAATAAAGAGTAAAAAGACTCCATATTTTTACTAGTAATGGTAATTAACCATTGGAACAATGTATCTATGGAGATCATGGATTCTTCATCACCTGATGTTTCAAAATTAGGACAGGACTGGGGGTCTCATAGCACAGGCCAGAAATTTTCTCCTTTAGGCTGAACCAGAAGTTGTAAGCTGGATGCAGGAATCACTTGGTGAAAAACTCTGGTTTGTGCTATGCAGGTGATAAGACTAGATGATCAAAAAGGTCCCTTCTGGCCTTCAGTATCTATTAAATATACACAAAGTTTCAAACCATGCCTGGTTTTCCAACTGAAAGGAAAAACTTGAAGCTGAATTCAAAACTGCAATACAGAGGAAACAAATAAATATTCTGTTTCCTGATAAATGTGTATGAAATTACACCGAGGAAACAACAGTGCAATCTGAATTAGAAAACGTATACCAAGAGGAAGTGATGAACAGCCGACATTCAAGGCTTACCTCTTCCCAGAATGTTAGATCTCTGTCCTGTAGGCCAATTGTCCACATATCGTTTAACCTAAATTATATGAAAACAATATCAGATATACAATTCTTTTGCTTGATTATTTTTAGTTGTTCTATTATTGTAATGAGCAAAACCATCAGTCAGCAGTACAAATTTCAGAAGCACTTGCAGCTAGAGATTTAGCTATGCCACAAAAGCTACTAACAGGCTCAAGATTTTAGCACCTTCCAAGATCACCACATATAAATGTAGAACACTTGTACAGCACCAGTCTTGTTGCTTTTGTGCTACAATGAACAACTCTTCGTAACAGCTCTACTCAGAGCTTGAGGATTTGGGCTGCTAACCCATGATATTTTAGCTGAAACCCTCCTTTTTATTGTTCTGCTCCCTCCTTCCTTTCAGTACCCTCTAGCAACTCTGGACCCTAACCACAGGGATTAATGATGTGGCTGAACCCTAACTCTAACACAGACGAGGAACCCACTACTCCCGTCACCCTACTAGCAAGCCCAAATATGACTATGCTGCTCTCAATACTAGTGAGTCCCAGTTGCTCAGGAATGTTACCTTCTCTGATGTGTGCCTGCCCAGGAAACTCATGTTCCTCAATGAGATGCTGCTAACATGGTTACATTAAACTGGTAGGGAGCACTCATTCCTGGGTCTTCTACCCAGTCTATCTTCTTCCAGCCATCCTGGAGACTCCTGAATAGGTCTCCTACCTAGGAACTGAGTAACTCCTCAAAATGATCTGTTCTCACTCAGAAAAAAGGTTCCAATTAGAGTTAAGAAAGCCTCCAGAAATCCTCCATTGTCTGAGTCATCTTCCAAGGACTCTGACTCAGTGCTCTACTTCAGGTTTTCAACAGAGGATATAAATGAGCTCATCAGTTAGGTAAAGGCTGGAGATTCAGATGGAGAAAACCTAATGGCTGTAACTCTCTGCTAAGGCTCTCACTAAGGACAAATTAAAACAATCCTCAATTCCTTGGACACAACGGTTGGTTGAATGGCTTCATGGGAGGAAAAAAAAATCTGTGCTCATTCTGGGTGGTTCCAAATCCCTAAGGGATTGTCTCCCATCCCTAAGGGTTTGTCTATATTATAACACAGTTAAACATCTGTGGCTGGCCTGTGTCAGCTGAGTTCATGCTCACAGGGCTGTAAAATTGTGGTGGAGACATTTGGGCTTAGGATGAGCCATTCCTCCTTGGGGAGGGAGGGTCCTGAGTTTGAACAAGCCTAAGTCAACTAACATGGGCAAGCCAGAGGTATTTAACTGCTATGTCTACTCTGTAAGCCCAGAGTGATGGGATTCAAATCAGATGACACTGGGTTGCATAATCCAGGATTTGAACATCTACACTGATTGTTAATGATACGTTAAGGATTTTCAAACCTGAACTCAAACTTAGGGCTCTGGTGTCCACGTTACAGCATGCGGACTTGTCAAACCAACCACATCCCAGACTCCCTAGTGCCCTTCCAAAATGTGGCTGCTCTTGCCTTTTGACCATGGTGCACTGCGAGAAAACTTGACTGACCACCCTGCATACGACAGGAAGTTTCAACAGTCTGTCAGCACTTCCTGTTGAGCAGCTTTTTTGGTCTGTCAAATCCCAACTGCCAGAGCAAGAAGCATGGAGTAAGGATGTTAAATATGGATTAATTTACTAGTTGAGTAGTCGATGGAAATTCCATCAACTACTTGACTAATCGATAGACACTTCCACATTCCTCCTTTGAAATGTACAAGAGCCCCACTGGGGGCTCTTGTGCATTTCAAGGTGGAACTCGGTGTGCAGCCCAGGGCCAGGGGCACTTGTGCATTTCAAAGCAGACATGCCCGCATGGAGCCTGGGGTCCATGCGGCGCTGACGCTTTGAAATGCCATGCGGAGCCCGGGATCAGCTGGGGACTCCCCAGCTGACTCCGGGTTCTGTGGAAATACTGCATGGAGCCCGGGGTCAGCTAGTGTCCAGTTGACCCCGGGCTCTGTGTGGCACTGCCACTTTGAAACACCACTGCGGCATTTCAAAGCTGCTACTCCAGACTTCTACAGTCTGTTGCCAACCAGTTATAGAGTTGGAAAATTAACTGTATGTAAAATGGTGGCCTGAAATCTCTGCAGTTACGTGACTTACATACAGTGAATCCCTCCATGTGCTGGGATCACTCTGCAAAAAGCATGTGGAGCCTCACACCACGCTAGAGTGTATGAATGCTCCCAAAAGCCACCCACTAATCACCCAGGGAAAGGTACTAGCCAAAGCCACCCAGCTCCACAGACTTATGTCTCAAAGCTGTACCATCTCACCCCAGTCATTAGCATGGCTAGTGTAAGCTTATTACCCAGTCCACTCCTAAAATTGTATAATGCTTAAAAATAAACTGATTATGTCAAAATTATTTAAAAAATTAATTCTACCAAAGCTAGATATTATTGACAACGGAGCTATTTTCATCTAGGAATGAAACAATGCCATTATGAGGCTTTCTTCTGTTCCCAATACTTTACAAACTCTTCATTGGCCTTAACTTTCCTGGCCACAGACTACTCCCTGTGTCATCGCATCATAGAAGATTAGGGTAAGAAGATACCTCCAGAGGTCATCTAGTACAACCTCCTGCTTTTTCCTCTTCTCTCGAAAGAACTCCTTCTCTTCCCTGTCCACACATGCCTTTTTCCGAAGGAGCTCTTTCAGAAAAAGGCTTCTTCCTCATAGAAATAGGTTTACTGATGTCAGAAAAACCCCTCTGTTCTTTTGATTTTTTTTCGAAAGAACGCGACTGCAGTGTGGATATAAGTAAAGTTTTTTAGGAAAAACGGCTGTTTTCCCGAAAAAAACTCTGTAGTGTAGACATAGCCCCACTGTCATCCATCAACTTTCTGGGAATGTAATCTATCCCATCATCTAGATCATCAATGAAGATATTGAAAAAAACTGGCTCCCCCACCAATTCCTGGGGTACTCCATTTCATACTAGCTGCCGGACACTGAGCTAGTGATCACTACTCATTGAATCCGATGATCTACCCAGACTGTATCAAAAGCTTTGCCAAAATCAAGGAATGTGAAATCCGTTGCTTTCCCCATATTCACAAAGGCCATTATCTCATCAAAGAAGGCAGGTGCTATATGTGTGCATTTGGTGCAAGGAGCTCCTGGCCCTCAGAGACTGGGTATAGGCTTTGAAGGATAGGGTGGCCGAACTGGAGGAGCTAAGGGAGGCCAAGAGGTACATAGACGAGGCTTTTCAAGACGCTGTAGAACTGTCCCACCTCTGGTCAGTCAGCCCGTGCTGTTAAGGAGAATGAAAGGCTCAGGGAAGGAGAACATTCAATTAGACTCTAGAGTAAAGGGAAATGATCCCATAGTTGAAACCCTCCTTCCAGAGGATGTTATGGTATCCCCTCGCACTGAGGATACATCTCTGGGGTAGGGAACTCCAGTCGTTAGGAAAAGGCAGGTGTTAGTAATAGGGGATTCGATCATTAGAAACATAGATAGCTGGGTTTGTGAAGACTGGGAGAACTGTATGGTGATGTGCCTGCCTGGTGCAAAGTTTGTGGATCTCTCAAGACATCTAGATAGTCTTATGTGTAGTGCTGGGGGCCCTACATGTACCGATTACATAGGGAATGGTATAGGATATTGAAATCCAGGACCTCTACAGTAGCGTTCTCTCAAATGCTTTCAGTTCCATTCACAGGGGCAGGTAGAGCTTCAGAGTCTCAATGCGTGGATGAGATGACAGTGTAGAGAGAAGGGGTTTAGATTAAATAGGAAATGGGGAAACTTTTAGGACTGGGGGAGCCTATACAGGAAGGATGGGCTCCACCAAAACCAAAACGGAACCAGACTACGGGTACTTAGTTTAAAAACTGCTCTACAGCCTTTTTAATATTAAGGGCTGGGGAAAGCCGACAGGTGCAGAGGAGCACATGGATCGGACAGAGACAGCTATTGAGGAGGTTCTATTGATAGAGATGCTCTATGTTCTAGTCAGGAGGAGAGGATGGAAGTACAGCTCGGATCAGATGAAACACAATCAAAAGGAAAAGAGTCTAACATCAAGAAATGGCAAACCGATAAATAGTGACAAATTATTAAAGTGCTTATACACAAATGCTAGAAGTCTAAATAGAAAAATGAGTGAATTACAGTGCCTAGTTTTAAAGGAGGCTATTGATATAATAGGCATCACAGAAACTTGGTGGCAAGAGGACAATCAATGGGGGACAGTCATACCAGAGTACAAAACATATCGTAAGGACAGAACTGGTCATGATGGTGGGGGAGTGGCACTATACGTGAAAGAAAATGTATAATCATATAAAGTAAAAATCTTAAATGAGCTAAAATATTCCATAGAATCTCTATGGATAGTAATTCCATGCTCCAATAATAAGAATATAGCAGTAGGGATATATTATTTACCACCTGATCAGGACAGTGATAGTGACTATGAAATGCTAAGAGAGATTAGAGAGGCTATCAAATTAAAAAGCTCTATAATAGTGGGGGATTTCAACTATCCCCATATTGATCGGGTACACGTCACCTCAGGATGGGGATGCAGAAATAAAATTTCTTGATACCTTAAATCCGTATTTCTCAAACTGTGGGTCCCGACCCCCAGGGGGGTTGTGAGCAACTTAGAGTGGGGTCGCAGCAATTTAGAGGGGGGTCGTGAGCAACATAGAGGGGGGTCACAGTATCACAAAGTTTGAGAACCCCTGCTTTAAATGACTGCTTCTTGGAGCAGCTGGTTCTGGAACCCTCAAGGAGAGAGGCTATTCTTGATATAGTCCATGGTCAAGCCCATACAACTAGACCACTTGGAAATAGTGACCATAAAATTTAACATCCCAGTGGTGGGAAAAACACCTCAGCAGCCCAACACTATGGCATTTAATTTCAGAAAGGGGAACTATACAAAAATGAGGAAGTTAGTTCAACAGAAATTAAAAGGTACAGTGACAAAAGTAAATCTCTGCAAGCTTCATGGAAACTTTTCAAAGACACCATAATAGAGGCCCAACT